GGTACTGCCCCATGCTATATTAGCATACATCAGGTAGGTATGTATGAATGAAAAGTAGACAAGTTTTAGACTTTTTTGTGACAAAAATGGTCTTGCTTTGTATAGTAAACCTTGATATTTTTTTGCTAATGTAGTTTTTATGGGGTTTCCAGGAGATATGTTCGTCAATTAGAACTCCTAAAAACTTTGTATTCAGAACTCTTTTGATGGCTATATTTTCTATATTAAGTGTTGGTAAGTTCAGTTGTATTTTACATTATGTTTATTGGGTGCAAGTTGCCACTGTGTATAACAAAGTTTAACCTAATCCGAAAACACATGGAAAATCCATAGTTTTTACAAATATACAAAAATTAGCAAAATGCTATGTTACGTCAATCATGTTTAGTGCCTCTAGTCAAATTGTCTCTAAAAATGTTTACCACCTAATGTACAATTCAATTAAAGAGTATGGTTTTATTCTCTTCTCTTTTTTGACTGGTTTGTTATTGTTTTTTGTCAAATTGTAGAAACTAAAGTTCCTATTAGCTATAATCTAAGAAATCTTTACAGTGAAAAGGTACTTAAATTTACTAAAGAAAATAGTATCTTGTTATATAACTGGTAACTCTATGCATTTATTGCAACCTCTTGATGTTGCATTTTATGGACCTCCTAAAAAAAATTAGAGGGAAAAACTTGATCAATTGAAAACTTCTTGTTCCAAAAAAAGTACAGAAAAGTAAAAAAAATAAATCTCCTTTGTTCTTTATTTACTTAAAAACATTATATTTGTCAGATCAAAAGGTAATCAACAACTTAGTAGCTTAGTGGTTTTGAAAGAAATATCGGATTTACCCATTAGATATAGGTATCATCTTCAGATGGTAATTGTAATTTTAGTAAGCCGAGCAGTAATAAATGTACTCTAAAAATTGTTTTATGTTAATATCAAGGAAAAAACAGGCTCAAAGGAAATAAAAAATTAGTTTTGCCCTTTTTAAAAGTAATTTTTTTGAGGATTTTTTGGCAAAATGTAAAGATGTTCCACTTGCATAGTCTTAGCAAAACTGATGTAAATAAGATTTTTTTATGCTAGTCCACTTAAAACCCATTAAAACAAAATAAAATACTAAATGGGTGTTTGTTATGAAATAATATATTATTTTAGCAATAATAAATTAATTTGAAACTAAACTGTTGTTTTTACTAAATTTTTAAACAAAACAATGCGTTTTTAAATGCTTTTACAAAAAAATGTATTCAAAGTTACCCTATTTATGGAGTAACTTGGAAAAACTCTTTAAATTAATGTTATACAAAGTCCTTTTATTTAAATATAATTTTGAATTTGAATTATGTAAGAGTCAATCTTTGCTCCAATATTCATTTTGTTAAATTTCAAACATTGTCAATAGCGAAGGAAGAGAAAGTAAAAATATCTCAAAAACGTTCAAAGTAAATCAGTATATCAGGTATATATATATAGTATAGTATATCAGGTATAGTATAGTATATCAGGTAGAACATTATATTTATTTATATATATACTTTTCGTATTTATTTTATATATAAGATAGAACATTATAATAAAGAAGTCATAATTAAAAACCTCAACAAATTTTTTCTTGATATTGGCCCATCGTTAGCTGATAAAATTCCAAAAAACACACCAAACTTTGAATCTCAAATGAAATCAATCAATACATCTATGAAAAAAGTGAAATTAAACATAAGTTAGTCGCAAAATGCCTTTAACTGTCTTAAAAATAATAAATGTGCTGGCATAGATCAAATCAGCGTGAATGTTGTTAAAGCAGTGTTTGATATTATTGAACCGTCACTATTTTACATTTTTAATCTGTCACTAAAACCCGGAATTGTACCAGAGAAATTGAAAATGGCTAAGATCATACCTATTTTTAAATCTGGCGATGACACAAATATATCAAATTATAGACCTATTTCTGTCTTACCATGCTTCTCAAAATTGTTAGAACGAATTATGTATGATAGACTTAATAGTTATTTAACTGAGAGCAATATAATGTATAATAAACAATTTGGGTTCAAAAAGAATCATTCAACGGATCATGCGCTAGTCGAGCTAATAAATTATATATCCAATGGGTTCAATAATTATTATTATATATTAGGAGTTTTTATTGATTTGTCAAAAGCATTTGACACTGTTGACCATGATATTCTTATAAAAAAAACTAGAACTGTATGGAATACTTAACAATAACTTACTATGGTTTAAAAGTTACCTGTCCAACAGAAAACAATATATAATATATTCAGCAAATGAAACAGAAAAACATATTATAATTTGTGGTGCTCCCCAGGGATCAATCTTAGGCCCACTATTATTCCTACTCTATAAAAATGATTTGTATTTAGTATCCAAAATTTTTAATGTTATATTATTTGCTGATGATTCGAATTTTTTTAATTCAAATAGTAATATAAAAGATCTGTTTAGAATATCTAACGAAGAATTATTAAAAATAAATAACTGGATTACAATTAATAAACTTTCATTAAATGTTGAGAAAACTAAGTTTATCTTATTCCACAAACCTAGTAGGGGAGATTTTATTCTTTATGAATAAAACACCTATTAAAAGAGAGTCTATCTAGGAGTGATTATAGATGAAATTTTTCATGGAAATATCATATTAAATCTACTGAAAACAAAATCTCCAAAAGTATCTCAATGTTATATAAAGTTAAACTATTTCTTAATATTGAGTCTTTAAAAATTATATATTTTTCATTTATTCATAGTTATCTTTCCTATTGCAATATTGCATGGGGAAGTACTAATTATGGGAAACTTAAAAAAATCTATAGCAAACAAAAACATGCAAGTAGAATTATATTTGGTGTTAACAGAACTGTTAATGGCGAATCTCTTTTAATGGAACTTAATGCACTCAATGTTTATAAACTTAACAAATCCAAGTTATGCATCTAATGTTTAAGGCAAAACATGGTTTATCTCCTAATATATGTCACTCTTACTTCACCGAAATTACTCATAAATACCCCACAAAGTATTCAACTAATGATTTTGTTGTTCCAAGATCTTATTTAAAATTCAGCTCGTTTCAAATTCAATACCGTGGACCATTTATATGGAAAAGTTTTTTGAAAAATATTAAAAATAAAACGCTTCTAAATTTTTCACTAGAACAATTCAGAAGAGAATTTAAACGATTTCTATTAGAAAATTACTTCGATCTTAAATTTTTTTTTAAATAAGTACCTATTTTTTTAAAATAAGTACTTAAAATAATTAAAAAAGAAAAATAAATAACTAAACAAAATTTATATATATATATTATTATACGATTTACTAATTGTAATATATTGTGTTTTACTATATAATCTTGAACCTGTAAATTTTTAACTTTTAATTTTAACTTGTAACATAATATATATACGTCTTCTTCTTGCTCCGGCCATTTATTTTACGTGTACGATCTTTTTTATTGTATATTTTATTAAACGGCAAAGAAAATAAATAAATAAAAAACATTTTATTTATTACATTTGTAGATAGAATAAGATAATACAGAGGGAACAAATTGTAAATAGTATGGTGAAACACACTAAAATATTAAAATAATAAAATTAATTAAAAAAAAAAACAAAAATTAATCACATTTGTTTTTATTTTTACAAACTTGTATTACGGTTTCGCCAAAAAATTTTTTTGTTTACTTTACTTTATACTATACGGTAAACTGTTTACTAAACTTTTAGTATACTGTTTACTAGCGATCCCAAATTTTGATATTTGCAGATTTTTTACAAGTGCTATATTCACTAAATTTGGCATTAGTACCAATAAGAGGTTGCATTTTATATAAAAGTGACAATTTTTTTTACCTATATTGCTTAGCAACCAGATTCCTTATTACTCAGGTAAATGGATTATTGAATAAATTTTTGTCGGATTTTCAACCGTCTTATTTTAAATAACAATCAAATGTTAAGGTATAATGTATATAACGTAAAAAGTAAGGTTATTGATTTTAGGTAAAGATTTAAGTAATTAATAATAAAAACAAAAAATATTTTTATTTAAGTAATGAAATTAAACTTTTATGACACTACAATAATCATTCATTTATTACTTAAAATTCATTTAGCTTAAAATAACATTAACTGTGGTAAAATAGCAATCAATACTGTTGCAATCCAATAACTTTATTTTACTGTTTTATATTTCAATTTCAAACGAGTCCACGTATCCACCTGTCATAAGTTTTTGAACTTTCTCTCCCCTTATGACACTTTGTGAACAGTCCCTTTAATAAACCAAAAAAAAAAATAGTTTAAATAACAAGTTGTTTTGCTCAATGTTTCATCTTTTTGTCATTCTAAAACATTTTAATTTTTTAGAAAAGTAACATACTCCAGAGACTATACCACAGCATTAAATATATTTGTACCCCAGTGGTCAACTATCGTAACTGCAAAATTGCTGATTTTCAGGTTTTTATCTTAACTGTCACAGGGAGACCGTCTTGTTTTAGTGGTAAAGATATTATTCAGACCCACTGAAATGTATGAAGAACTTCAAATATCAATTTAAAAAATAAAAAAAGCTGTTTCTTAACACAAAAAGAAGTGTAGTAACTTCATTTGGCTCTCCTGTAAAATTTGTCAAATGTGAGTTACGATAGTTGACCTTTGAGATACAGATATTGAATAAAAAATATCGTATTTCTAGATATATTATTATAACAATTGCAACTTGCAAGTTTAAACCCAAACACACCATGTTTAAACTTGATTTGTGTTAAAAACTTGAAAAAATTTAATAAAAACTTTGCTAAAATTAAACACACTTCCCATAATCTACGCCAACGCCGATCATGCTTAAATTTAACAAGTAGTGTACGTTCCGTAAAAATACACAATTCGGCACGCCTTGTGAGTAATCTATACTTTTAATAATTCAAAACAACTTAAATTGTAATTTTTCGCTTAATATAAAAACTCTGAAGTTTTTAGAAACAATATTATAATATTAAATCGAAGTATACACATAAATATATTAAAACTCGCCGTTTTTCATTTAAAAACACCATCTTAGATTCTCTACTGTACACTTTAAAAAAAAAAATGCAATTTTTAAATAATGATAATATTAGGATGGCATCCATAATCGACCGTGACTATCTTCTTTTGTGTAACAAATATCCCATACCCAAGGTTTATCTTAAAAAAAAAAGGAGCTCAGTAAACCGCATATATATACATCAATAAGTTGTAAAAAAACAAAAAACAAATAATACAAATAATAAAATAAAAATGTACTGAATAAAGAATTACAATATAATAAAAGAATACAGGCATAATAAACTAATTAAAAAAGTATAACAAACTTATCAGGCACAATAAACTGTTTAAAGAATAGTATAGGCATAATTAACTAATTTAGTAGAAAATTGTTTGCAATTATTTACAAGTTTAGATTTTTTGAGAATTTAAAAAAAAAATAAGCAAAATTAATAATTAGTGAAACGAAACTAACGAAACAATTTTTTTTTACAACAGCTTTGTATCTATTTCAGACAATGATTGAATTGACTTGCAAAGATGCCTAAAGAGAGGGATAAAAGGGCATACGTGCCCCAAACGCCGAGATAATAAGAGCGCCAGAAAACGAAGGACTAAAAAATTATAGAAAATAATAAAATTTTAATTTTTATACTATTATAATTAACTTAAGACATTTCACTGAACTTAAGACATTTCACTGAACTTAAGACATTTCACTGAACTTAAGACATTTCACTGAACTTAAGACATTTCACTGAACTTATTCTTTAACATTTACTACTATCATAAATGACAGTATTTACCATTCATTCATAAATAAAGGATTTACCGCAATAATGTCTTCCAACCTTCCACAAATCCAAACATTCTTGGGTTGTTGACAGATTTATGATAATAATATCCTACTATCACTTAACACTTTATTTTCTTACAATTGAAAAATGATCAGTGGTAGCTAGCCAAAGTTCATTTTTAAGTTAATATCAAATCAAAATATAGTATAAAATCAATTATAATAGCTTAATGTTTTAATATATAACTTACTTATTTTTAGGGTTAGAGTCAGGGTTAGAGTTTCTTTGATTTTTAAATTGATCTTGAATACCTCGATGAAATCAAAAATGATTTTTCAGTTCAATTGTTTTAATGATAGGTGCAACGTGTAAATAGACTTACTTCTTCATTTCATTCTTACCATCAAGTATAGAATTGGAAGAGGATAAAAATTACATAAAACAATTGTCAGATCTGTTATGGCTTTAAGAGAAATTGAACAAGTTTATGTGGCAATGAAAACAGTTGCATCAACTTTGAATATACCCCTAATAAATCCTCATATAATGTACTGTTTTTGTACCAATGTACCAACACTTGTTCTCGTTTAATGTATAACATAAAAAAGATCAGCTAGATTATGGGATTGCAAAGATAAAACCACGAAGAAAAGTCAGATCAATATTTCCTGTGTATGCTGGTGCAGGTATTACCAGACCGATAAAAACTAAAAACCAGATAATTTCCTGTTTATTTATATTAATTTATGTTTATTTATTTACTGTTAATTTTTCTGGACACATTATTGGCATTACAGTCATGATCTTGATAGTGGAGCATAAAATCATAATGGAGCAGACAATCATGAAAACATGTTTTAAAAATATTTTTATTATTTAAAAGTTTCTTGATCTGGGTGTGCTTTAGCTGTCACAAATTACAATAATGGTTTGAGAGGTTTTGAAAGAATTTTTGTTTTTTGATACAAGAGTTGTGGCAGGTCCTAGTAGGATAGGAAATGAGCCTGCCAAGTAGAACACTTTACCATCATCACCAAAGGTATGCTGGATTTATCACAGTGATCACATTCTTTACTTTTACATCTGTTAAAAAACGGCGCAAAGATTTTTCAAGTTTCTTTGAAACTGGGGATATTCTAGATATATGGCGCAAATCAAAAGTCATGCTTATTTTTAAGGAACCAAGGTCAAGGCTGAAATCTCTCACCTCTATACCATGCAAGGAGATTGAAAGAATTATAAAAAAAAGAATATCAAATATTGCACATTATATTTCAAAGTCTGAATATGGATTTGTACATCGCAAGATCACTAACTTGAACATTTCAAAGATCCATCAGTTTTTGGACCACTGCTATTTGCGCTCTTTATCAATGACTTACTGGACTGCTTTAACAACCAAATCGTGCGACAATGACAAAAAGATTATAGGAGTTGCCATTATCAATAAATTTTTTTCTAAATACAAAAAACTGCAAGTGGACATCAATATCTTGGAATTTGATCACACAACTGGCTTACGTATTTCAACATCAAGAAGTGCAAAGTAATGCAAGTTGGTTAAAGCAAAAACAAATCATTATATATGTACATTATGACTGATATCAATAGTAACGCATGCAAACTTGCTCCAATGAGCATTGAGTAT